CAACGCAAGCACAGCCTTCCTGCTCCTCTGCTTTGTTCACACCAGACTCTCCCTGGGGGGGGGGGCACTCCTCCTAGCCCCCTCCTGGCCCCCTCCAAGCCCTCCCAACTCCCCAGCCCCCTCCCAGCCCTCCTCTCGGCCCCTCTCCAAGCCCTCCAGCCCCCCTCCCTGCTCCCCCGCCCAGCCTCTTCCCAGCCCCTCCAGCCCCCTCCTGATCCCCTCCCAGTCGCCCCAGCCCCTTCCCAGCCCCCCAGCTCCCCTCTCGACCCCCCCCCCACCCCCGCCCGTACCACACGGCCTCCCCGACCCCTGGCCTCCTAAGGGCTGCTGTGTGTGCGTGCCTGTGCCGCTTGGTGGATGCGTGAGTTTTCTGTCCCCCCCACCCCGAGGCTGGCCGTGCTCTTTGCTGGGAGCCCAGCATCTCACACAGCACCCACAGACGGAAAGTGCTCGCTCAGCGTCGCAGGTAGAATGAACGAAAACGAATGTGCGACAGGCACCGAGCGTCTGGCACGCAGCAACTCCAGGCTCCCGGGCCTGTTGAAATACAGTAATCCAATCCAGCACGCCTCAGAGTTATTGATCTCTGGACACTTTACACTCTTCAAAACTGCTGAGGGCCCCAGCGAGGGCATTTGCCTGGTTATAGCGGTCATTATTCACGATGTAAGACATTAAAATGGACACATTTTCCAAATTTTATTTATAAATCTATTTGAAAACAACAGGTGACCCATGAAATGGTAGCAACGATGACATTTTGATTAAACAACCTGCATTTTCCGAAATGAAAACGTAAGTGAGAAGAGGGGCGTCGTTTTATGTTTTTACCAAGCAGGCGATAGCTGGATTCGCATGGCTGCTTCTGCCTTAACTGCTGTGACACCACGGAGCACCCAGGCTCCAGAATCCCCCTCTGTCCGTCTGTGACGGCAGGAGAGGGTGAACGGGAAACAATGCCCGAGTGGCGCGGGGGATCCATGCACCTTCTCTGAGAATCGTAGATCTGGTCTGCTTCCACCACGCCATACACAGTTTTGAAAATTATTCTTTATCTAGTTGTGAGACAGACAGACAGACACACACACACACAGACAGACAGGAGAAAGATCCCACAGTGGCCCCGAGTGCACCAGAGCGGAGAGCAGGGAACTCACTCTGTTTTCCCGCAGGAGAGGCAGGGACCCAACAGAGCCATCGCTACTGCTCCCCAGGGGCTGCATTGGCCCGAAGCTGGAGTCTGGAGCCAGGGCCAGGAATTGAACCCAGGCGCTGCGGTGTGGAACCCGGGCGTCTCAGGCTGCAGGCTGAATGTCTGCTCCTGGTTTGTATTTTATAGACGAGGACACTAAGGGCTAGGGACATGCATGGACTTGCAGAAAACTGGAAGTGAACTGCTGAGACAACATGCAACAGTAATAGTGATTTAAAAAAAAAAAAGCTTCCTTTCCATTGAGCTGTCACTAGGCGCCAAGACTGGGCCCGGCACTGTATTCGGTTATCTCGTGGAATCTTTGACTCAGCTCTAGAGCTGGGAGTGTTTTGACCTTTATTTCCAGAGGAAGAAACTAACGCTCAGATCACACAGCAGGTCTGTGACAGAAGCAGGATTCGAACCCAGAGCGGTGTGTTTGCAGTCTGGCTCTTACTCCACTATCCATATTCCTGGAGGTAAACAAGCACTTGGGTGTTGGAAAGACTGACTCAACTCTTCTTAAAATGGGCCTCGTGGCACAGAGAGGGTGCGACTGCTCCTGCTTGGGGGCAGAGCTGGAACTTGTGGTCAATATTGCGAATGAAGGAAGTTGGAGCTTGGTGGGCTTCCCTCCAGAACTCATGGGGGCACTCGGGATGTCTTCCCCAGCAGTCTCTCAGTGAATCTGGCCAGCCCCGCAAAACCAATTCCACGACAGGCTGGTGGCCACCCAGCCAAATTGGTCCAGCAGGCCAATCTTCCAAAACCTTATTTTAGGGGCAAGTCTTATCGAACCTAGTTAATGAATATGAATATACTTGTGAATACATTCAATGAATATATTCTTGTAATATGCTATTTTAAATGTTCAGTGATAGTGCTCAATGAATTTATACTTCTTGAATACTATTATCCAAAAATGTATTCAAGATATTTTAATTATATTCAGAGCTCTGTTTAAGATATTCGAGAGTCAGCTCTTCAGTAGAAAATACTCATCAGACAGCTAAACAGCCCCCATGACAGTTGGCTTCCAACAAATTGAGCTTAAAATATTGCTGAAAAGAATATACTCACTGAACAGGTTCAAGACTAATTGATTAAGAAGACTATAGCCATACTCACTGGCTATACCCAAGAAGGCTGGTCTCCAGGGACGTTTTTGGTAAATTCACCAAATCGGTGTGTTGGTGCCTTGGGTTTCAGCCGGGTTTGGTTCGAGCCCTCGTGTGCCAGGCCGTGACCAAGCATCCTGCGGCGACTGTGGGCGTGGTGGGATGAACAATCCTTCTAGAAGGTTGTGAGTTGTGTTGAGATTCACAGAGGACAAGAGAAGGTGGAGGAGGGGCTCAAGGTGGTTTCCAGACACTGCAGGAGACACTGGGACCATTTCCTGTCACCAGACACGGAAGCTGGTTCTATCACCCTCCACTGCTGAGGAGGTAGCAACACGCAGGGGGCGTGGCTTGTTACCAAGGGCAGAGTGGGACTTGACCTCAAGTGGGGAGCTGACTTCAGGCAGTCGGAGCCCGCGGTCCTGGCTACAGGACTGCACTTCTCCCTCCAAAACGGCCTCCCGTGAGCTTCAGTGCGTCGGTGAGAGGTCAGGTGGGCCGGGCAAGTGGGCACCGGCAGGGTGGGGACTTGGCGGGAAGGAGCATGGCGGGGGGCTATCAGAGAATTTGCTGGGGCTTCCGTTTGGTTCCTCGGGGAACCAGGCAAAGCAGGGGAGGCGATGGTGAGTCCAAAGGCAGGCCTCCTTTCTTCTCCCTGGGCCGTGCAGGAACAAATATCATGGAATTCTGCAGACCCCCCGTCTGCTTGTTTGTCCCATGATCACATGATGGCTCAGAGCTCAGATCCAACTATATTATGTTCCTGGAAATAGAAAAAGAGGGAGCACAAAGAGATGTGGAAGAGCACACAGGCCCTGACATAGACGTTTGCACGGTCTCGCGGCAGCAGCTTTGCCGACATGTCCAACGCGTTTCCTCCCTTCTTTCTGTTCAAGGGGAGGAAACAACTCCTTTCTCGTGTTCTTGATTACTCAAGGGAGACACACACCGCATAGACGTGGCTGACACATTAGCTGTGATCTTATTCAGAAAGATGATGTTGCAGCAAGATTTTTTATAACTGCAGATTTCTGGTGATTTATTTCCTGTCTCCCCAGCGGCGGGCGTGCAGAGGTGGTTTGTGGCTACCGAGGGTGTTGGCTGTGAGGCCAGAGCTCCTCCTCCAGCGGGAACACAGGAGGCAGCTGGTGGGGAACATTCTGGAAGGCCTTGCCTCCTGCCGGGACTGTGAGGCTGTGGCCGCGTGCGCTCACCTGAGGCTCCTCTAATGGGGCTGTTGTGAAAACGGGGTGAAGGATGCTAACGGCTTGCATGGCGTCTCCTGCTTTGCCTCCTCTGCCCGGTTCGTCCAGCCCAGACATCTGCAGACAGAGGCGGGTCTCCAAACTCTGCGCAGAGGATGGACTGTGCAGCTTCAGCTCCCCAAGCAGAACTCGGCAGGCTGGGCTCCTCCAAGGGGCAGGAACTCGGTCCCGGGCTCCAGCCTTCTTTGCCGCCTCCTGTTTGGTATGGTTGCAGCCTCCTCTGCTGTCTCAACATGAAGCCGGCAGGGTTTGGAGCGGTGGTTGCTGCTGGTGGTGGTGGGAAATCGGGGAGTCCCGGCACTGGCCCACCTCCTCTCAGATATCACCCAACATTTGAGAATCACTGAAAACAGACCACCTCGAAGGGGTCACTTTCCTGTGTACTTGAGGGTCTTTAACAACAACTCATTTTTATTCGGTTAGTGAGATGATGTTTTTTGTTTGTTTGTTTGTTTGTTTGTTTGTTTTTTGACAGGCAGAGTGGACAGTGAGAGAGAGAGACAGAGAGAAAGGTCTTCCTTTTGCCGTTGGTTCACCCTCCAATGGCCGCCACTGCTGGCGCGCTGCAGCCGGCGCACCGCGCTGATCCGAAGGCAGGAGCCAGGTGCTTCTCCTGGTCTCCCATGGGGTGCAGGGCCCAAGCACTTGGGCCATCCTCCACTGCCTTCCCGGGCCATAGCAGAGAGCTGGCCTGGAAGAGGGGCAACCGGGACAGAATCCGGTGCCCCAACCGGGACTAGAACCCAGTGTGCCAGCGCTGCAAGGCGGAGGATTAGCCTATTGAGCCGCAGCGCTGGCGATGATGTATTTTTAATTAATGCATGACTTTATTTGGAGAGGAAGAGAGATGGTGAGAAAGAGAGAGGCAGAGACAGAGAGAGAGAGATCTTCCTTCTACTTGGTTACTCCCCAAATGCCCACAGCAGCTGGATCTGGGTCAGACCAAAGCCAAGGGCTGGGACCTCAGTCCAGGTCTCCCACGTGGAGACATCACCACTGCCTCCCGGGTGCACATCAGCAGGAAGCGGGAATCAGGGGCAGAACTGAGACCTGAGCCCCGGCATTCCAGTGGAGGAGGCAGATGTCCCAAGCGGTACCCTAACTGCTGCAGCAAACACCTGCCCCTATTCTAAAAACTCCCCACTGTGTGTGGTACACAGTAAGCACTTGGTACACGCTACTGCCTGTGATCACGATTATGCTAAAAAGCAGACAGAGCACCAAGACCCTGAATCAGGGGCGACCATGGGAAGCCTAGGGCAAAAGTTCCAGCACAAGCCCCTCTCCCTGGAGCCAGCCCCAGGCAGAGTGCATGCTGGGGAATATGTCCCCACCCCCACTGCCTGAAGACAGGCTGTGACACCGGGCAGATAAACACACTCATCTTCCCCTGCTGAAATTGGCACGGCCGGAGTGGAGCTCCGATGATTTATTTACCAGCGACAGCTCTGCTCTGGGGTGGAAGTGCCCTGGTTTGCCGCGTGGTTCCTTCATTTATCTTTGTTGGCAATGCAAGCCCTCGGGATCTCCAGTGCGGCCTCCACCGATGCCTTATTCCTGCCGTGTCTCGCTGCTCGCGCGGAGGGCACAGGCGCGAGGGCTGGTGGGGTGCTTGCCAAGCCACCTACGAAGCACCCTCTTGGATCTTTTCTGGGTTGAGCGGGGGGGGAATCCCTGGAGACGGAGCCCTGTAGCATCAGAGAAACCACATCTCCGTGGCCATGCACCTGTGCGAGAGACTGCAGCCGTCAGATTGCTCTGGGCTCAAACCCCGTCTCTGCTGCTTATTATTTACGTGGCTGCAAGCCGATGGCCTGACCTCTGAGACTCCCCATCAGTTAGAAGACAGCACTAACACCCAGTTCCTGCTTTCTGGCGAGGCTAGCACGCCGAGAGCAGCTGGCACACGGTAAAACGAGCCTGACACACGTGGGAAGCTCTTAATAAAAGGAAACTCTGCTTCGTGTCTTCATCCTCAGATTACTCCCCGAGGCTCAGAGCTGGTCCTGGGAAAAACGGGAATCTCTCTTAGGCTGCAGAGATATGGGAGCCGGAAGTGACTACAGGAGCAGCCGGAGAGCCCAGTGGAAGCTCTGACCCCCCAGGGCTCAGCAGGGCACATCCTCCTCCCTCTGACTGGCCGAGCACTCTGGGATTGCACAGGCAGGAGCCATCACTACCTGATAGCATTCCCATCGTGGTGCTCCCTCCCCCACACCGGGATCAGGATCACAATGCTGCATGCATGGATCGGGAAACAGAGGCCCAGACAAGCACAGCCACTCACCTCCACACATATGCAGTCACTCAGCAAGCATTTACTGAGTGCCTACTGCACATCAGCCACTGTTTGGGGTACGTCTGATGCAGGGCAGAGCCACACAGGCGAGGCAGTTCTTCCCCTGCACAACTTACGCTCTATAGGTGGAAGCAGGCGATAAACAGTGGAAATAATAGATAGGTTACATAGCATTTTAGGAAGGGACAAATACTATAGAAAAAAATAGATGTCGAAGCCGGTGCTGTGGCGTAGTGGGTTAAAGCCCTGGTCTGAAGCGCCAGCATCCCATGTGGATGCCGGTTCGCGTCTCAGCTGCTCCTCTTCTGATCCAGCTCTCTGCTATGGCCTGGAAAAGCAGGAGAAGATGGCCCAAGTCTTTGGGCCCCTGCACCCACATGGGAGACCTAGAGGAAGCTCCTGGCTCCTGGCTCCTGGCTTCGGATCGACGCAGCTCTGGCTGTTGCAGTTATCTGGGAGTGAACCAGTGGATGGCAGACCTCTCTCTGTCTCGACCTCTCTCTGTAACAGTCTTTCAAATAAATAAAATAAATCTTAAAAAAAAAAAACAGATGTGACAGGGGAACCAAGGCTGGAGGGGGGGCATTTGTATTTTTAAATAGGGTGCTGAGTCATGCGGTAACATTTGAGCAAACCTTGAAGGAGGGGAAGGGTCAGATCAGGCAGGTGACTGGGGGAAGAAGGGACAGTGAGAGCCAAGGCCCTGGGGTGCAGTGTGCCTGGGGTGCAGTGTGCCTGGGGCACATAGAGTGGGGAGAGCGGGGATGGTGAGGCTGGGAGGTTCAGTGGGCAGTGCTTGTGTGGAGGGCTGTAGGGTTCTGTAGCCATTACAAGAACTGCAGCTTCTGCTCTCATTGGACTACTAAGGAGCCATGGGAGGGCTTGAGTGAAGCATGCCAGCCCCTGGATAGTAATTCCCCGGGGCCACTCTGGCTGTTGGGTTTGAATGGAAGGTGGAGTGTCCATCGCTCCCATAGCTGATCTACAGTCCCCCATTCCAGCCATGGAATGAAGTCCCAATACGAACCTTGATAGCAGCACGCTACGTGAAAGAAACCAGACACAGGGACAGACTGTGTGGTTCCACTTGGTGGGAATGCCTACAGTGGGGGCATTCCGAGACGGGAAGCAGAAGTCGCGAAGCCTGGGGGGTGGGAGGAACGGGGCAGTAAGGCCTGATGTTTACACTTTCTGTTTGCGATGATGACAAGTTTTGGAGACAGTGGAGATGGTTGTGCAACATTGTGAATGTTTTTAATGCCACTGAGCTGCAGAAACGATGGGCAGTTTAGATCTTGCACCATAATAAAAATAAACAATAATTGAATAAAGACTGCGGGGTCAGATAAAGCAGCCTGTGCTGTGACAGTCTCAGATCCATGTGGAGGCGTGGGAGGGAGTAGGAAGGGGTCAGAGGCTGGGCGCATCCGGAGTGAAGGACTACCTGATGAAACATGGGCCGAGTTAGTAATTCTCAGGGCCGCGCATGGAACCTGGGTCCATGCAGCAGGTGTCCGGTGACCAGGGCGGATCACCGGCCTCTTCCAAGGCTTCTGGCTCTAGGTGGCCCCACCAGGACGAGTGTTGGGTTCCTATGGCTCATCAGGGCACATGGTGCTAACTCTGTGAAAGGAACGTTCTGGGCTGGAGCCCCGTGGACGTCAGCCACTGTCCTGGGCTCGCCTGGCCAATCCTGCCCGGGGCAGGCTCAGCTCCCAGTTGGCGACTCTGTTTGTTGCATCACTCCGGTTGCCTGGGAAATGAGTTGCCGAGGTCAGGAGCCCAGATTAGGAACAGGGTGGAGCAAGGTGGAGCAGATGAGCTCATGACAACACTGTGTTGTTTGCTCCAGCGACCTCAGTGCCGGGCTCAGCCCCTGCTCCTCTGGTGCTCGGGCACCTTGGACAGAGCAGGCCCCACAGGAACCAGCATGGACTTTGGGGTCAGACACTCCTGGGGTGAAACTCTGACCTGCTTCCTACTTCCTGTGTGACCCTGGGGAGACAGCTTCCCTCTCTGAGCTCCTGTAACTGCGATCATACCACCCACTTCCTGGACTGGCTGTGGAGCGACGGAAACCGGAAAAGGTGCTGTGAGGTGACAGCTGCTGGGCAAATAAAGGGGCTCCTATGGCAGAGGATGCCAGGGGGCCACAGGTGGCTGGCTTCTCCCACACCCTCGAAGGAGGCCGAGCGTGCCCTCTGGGGTCACTTTTATAAGGGCACGAATTGCATTCATGAGTGCTCCACTCTCATGCCCTAATCACCTCCCAAAGCCCTCACCTCCTAAAACCATCCTGGGGAACAGGGTTCAACAGCTGACGTTTGAGGAGGAATAAGCATTTAGTCCTTAGTGAGAAAGCACAGAGGAGAGGCTGCTGTCGTGGCACAGGGAGTTAAGCCCACACAGGCGCTGGTTCAAGTCCCTGCTACTTAGCTTCTGACCTCGCTCCTTGCTAAGGCTCCTGGGAAAGTAACGGAAGACGGCCCAAGTGCACAGACCCCTGTCGCATGGAGTGCCTGGCCCAGCCCTGGCTGTTGCAGCCTTCTGGGGAGTAAACCAGCGGATGGAAGATCTCTCTGTGTCTCTCCCTCTCTGTGTCCTCTGCCTTTCACAAAAATAAAACACCTTTACAAATATTAAAAAAAGGAAAAATAGCTTGAACACCTGGCTTCTTTTTAAAAAAAATTAGTGATATTTTAAAATAAATGAAACACAAATGCAAGTTCATATTTATTTAAATGCTGGAGGCCAGCTTGTCCCACTTCCTGCTGATGTGATCAGCCATCATCTTTAGGAGCGGGACAGTTACGGCTGCAGAGGCTCCAGCCATCGTCCAGCTGATCCCCTGCCCAGGGCCGTTTCAGCACTCCCTGTCATCCGCCATACACGGCCCGCGGCCTGCACAGACCCCCTGTGCTCCTTCCCCTGCGTCCTGGGTGCTCTCGCTGCTGGGGGTTGCACCTGTAGCTCTCGGGATCGTTGTCCAGGAGCTGCAAGAGCCACCGTGTGCCCAGGGCCAAGGACCTTGAAGTTGACGTCCCTAAGGGCCAGTCTACCTGCGCCACCCTGAGGGAAGACGTGAGCCAGTGAGTGTCCAGTGTCGGGAGCAGTCAAGCCCTGCGCCTGTGCCTCAGCTGGGGACAAATCCAGACCCACCCACCCAGGGCTCATGGGGACACTCCAGCAGTCCCACAGAGACACCTTCCCTCCTGCCAATGGCCGTGAGAGTGAGAGTCTAGGCCAGCCCTTCAGCCCCAGACAGACCTGCAGGCGACCGCAGTCCTGGCCGCCATCTGGGTGGTGGCACTCCCGCGTGAGCCCCTGAGCCGGAGTGACCCAGCTAAGCCTCAGCTGAACTCCTGACTCTCAGAAACTGGGATGATAATATCGCTACACTGTTACAGGGTGATGGCTACCAGCTCCAGCTTCCCCCGGGATGTTCACAACACACACCGGCAGAATGAAAAAGCTAAAAGGTTTAACCGCAGTGTAACCCAGCGCCCCCCGAAAGTGCTGGTCCGCAGAACCCTCCCCTTACCATCCTTTCAGAACCCACGCTGGGTGCTGCTCATCTAGTGGACACACCCAGGAAGTTTCTGTTTCGGTCGCCTCTGCGAAGACATTCTTCATCCTCCAACAACCGCGTGCGCACCAGCTTAGATAGGAGATGTGCGTGGGCGTGGGTGTCTCCGTGCGTGCACCTGTGCCTGTTGACAGCTCTGTCATTGTGTCTGCTGTGGATGTTGTCAGCTGTCACTCACCATCCCAAACAAGCCAGCGAGTCATGCAGCTCCGACAAGAGCACCAAGAGCAGGAAGAAGGGACGTAGCCCACGGTGCTGGGTCACTGGGCACTCCCTCCCAGACCGCTGCTCCTTGCCATCCGGCTGCCCTCCTGCCCACTCCCCGGGGCTGCTGGGGTGCTGATGATAACGAAGCAGGAGTCCTGTTTGGTCTGTGCATGCTTTTGCCAATCTGCCCAGCAAGTCTTTTTTTTTTTCTTTTCTTTTTTTTTTTTTGACAGGCAGAGTGGACAGTGAGAGAGAGAGACAGAGAGAAAGGTCTTCCTTTTTCTATTGGTTCACCCCCGAGTGGCCACTGCGGCCGGCGCGCCGCACTGATCCGAAGCCAGGAGTCAGGTGCTTCCTCCTGGTCTCCCATGCAGGTGCAGGGCCCAAGCACTTGGGCCTTCCTCCACTGCACTCCCGGGCCACAGCAGAGAGCTGGCCTGGAAGAGGGGCAACCGGGACAGAATCTGGCGCCATGACCGGGACTAGAACCCGGTGTGCCGGCGCCGCTAGGCGGAGGATTAGCCTAGTGAGCCGCGGCGCTGGCCCCAGCAAGTCTTTGAGGGGATTCAGGGCGGCGAAGAACCAGTCCCATTGTACAGATAAAGAAACTGAGGCCCTGACTGGCGACCACAGCATTTGTTTTATTTATTTATTTATTTATTGGAAGACATGCAGCGGGTTTTAATTTGCCACCTCGCCTCCCATTTCTTCCTAGGAGGCGCCAAGTGACTGCCCCGCCCAGGCTGGATCCAGCTTCCTCCGGGAAGGTTCCACCCGTGCAGCCCCCAGCCCACACCCAGTTTTCCAATGATTCGTTTCATTTTGGCTACAATTTACAATCTGCTAGGGAGCTTTCCAACAGCACCCGTGCTCAGGCCTCAGGCGGGCCAGTGATGTCAGAATTCCCGCAGAGGCTGCGAACCATGGTCAGTTGGGACAGATTTCATTTCCATCACCAGCATCTCCCACCTTAGCTCCGCCCCCGCCCCAGGCACTGAGGGGTGCTGGGCTTCTGTCCGCAAGGGCCCCAGGACCCCTTTGTTCAGGACCTGGCCACGGCCAACAGGGAAAGGCGTGAGTTGGTCATGCAGCCACGCCAGGCTGTGTCTCCCGGCTATCCAAGTTCAAGTCTTCCAGAGAGGAAGACTGCTACCAATCTGTTCTCGGACCCTCTCCCTTCCACTGTGATTCCCCTCTCTATTTTAAATGTATTTGAAAGAGAGAAAAAATGCCTGTGCACAGGTTCACTCTCCAAAGGCCTGCAATGGCCCGGGGCTGGATCAGGCAGGAACGCAGTCCAGGTCTCCCCCATGGGTAGCAGGAACTCAATGACTTGAGCCATTCATCCCTGCTGTCTTCCAGGCTACAGTAGCAGGAAGCTGGAGTCCGGAGCCGGAGCTGGGAACTGAACAGCGGAGCTCTGATGTGGGCCCCGGGGGTCTCTCTATTCGAGTTGTTGCTGCGGCCAGTTATGTAGCACAGTGGGTTAAGCCGCTGTCCGCAACGCCGGCATTCCACATTGGCACCGGTTCTAGTCCCAGCTACCTCACTTCCGATCCAGCTCCCTGCTGATGCTCCTGGGGAAGCAGCCGATGGCCCAAGTGCCTGAGAGATCCCGGTGAAGCTCCCGGCTCCTTGGCTTGGGCTCTGGGTTGTTCGATTTGCTCTGTGTAGAAAATGCACGCTCCAGGGTGAGTCCTGTACTTTCTCTACAGCTGGGGTGGGAGGGGGGCGAAGGGGTTGAAGACAGGCAGCGCTATTTCCCAAGCGGCACTGCACTGGAGTATTTCAATGTTTGGACACCTGCACCTTGGTGCCTGGGCACGCGGGCTGTTTCAGCAGAGCATGCGCACTCAAGGCGCCCACACGGAAGGCGGGGCTTGGCGTCTTCTCCCTCCCCCAGGCCCAAGTCGCCCCTGGAGAGCAGCAGTGGCTCCCACGTCCTGTGCGGCCACTCTTCACCTTTGCCCCAGCAGCCACCGAGCCCCCCCACGGCCACTGCCCTGGGAAGACCTTGGCGCTGGAGCGCGTGGGCCAACTTCCTGGCAACCGGGGTGACCCGGTCAGCTCTCAGCACCCCGAGAGCCGAACCCACATCAGGCCCTGAGACCCCCTACCTTCCCCCGGCTCCAGAGCCTGGGGCGTCGGCGGAAGGGGACCTCTGCCCTGCCAGCTTCAGGTGTTGCCTCGGTTCAGAGACCGTACAGACTTTGCACATTATGATGTATACCCCAAGGGGCCCCGACGGGAGGGGGCGGAGGAGAAAGCAGCCACTGATTCCCGGAATTGACTTCCAGACACGTTAATTTGTTTCTTCCCTTCAAGGTCAAGTCGAGTCATCTCCATAAATCATCGCTGGCAGCCGGCTGGCTGGCATTGGGAGGGGCGGAGGTGTGAGTTGCAGATAGAGCTGGGGGCGGGGGGCACTGCAGATAGAACTCGGGTGGGGGGCTGCAGATAGAACTCTGGGGGGGGGGGGCTGGCCCAAGGGGGAGGGCGGAAGTGGGTTCCAGACGTCCCCTGTCCCAGCAGCGTCCAAGTGAGGGCTCGGGGCAATATTCCTTTGTTCTCCGGCTGGAGAGCTCCAGAAAAGGGTCCGGTCATTTATTCTGATGCCAAGTCTTGTGCCTTTGAGCTGGAAGCTCCCAGAGCTGAACACGAGCCAGGTTTCTGGAGCCTGAGTCATGCCTGCAGCCCAATTTCCCCAGGTGACTCACACTCATCATCCCTTCGCCCATCCGTCAGTCATTTCTTCTTCCATTCGATAAATAGCTCTCGCCCCTGGTGCGCCGCACGCCGTGCGTGAAGACGGCAGCGTGACGGATGGAGCAGGCGCTCTCGCCTGGGGGGCCTCTCGCCACACCGCAGGACTTGAGCCAGCAGAGGGGAGGGTGGGGAAGTGGAATTTGGGGGAGACCCGAGGACACGGTGGTGAGGAGGGGGCAGCCAGGCACGGGGCTGAGGATGGACTGTCGGCAACGGAGGAACAGAGGGCAAAGTCCCTTTCTTCTCACCGGACCCTTCTCTGGAGCTAGATAACCAACGTGGGCTAGACATGCTCTGGCTACACGCACCAGTGCCCAATGAGCAGTGGCTTAGACAAAAATATCTCAACACGGTGTTTAGAGCTGAGTGATGTCAGAGCTGGATTTTCAGCTATGACACCATCAAGAATCCGGCGTAGTTCCATCCTCTTCCCTGCATCTCTGACAACTCAGAGCCCACCCTGTGACTGCAAAACAGCTGCAGCAGCTCCAAGCATCTCATCACCATGTGACGATGTCCAGAAAGAGAGGTGAGGTAAAAAGGGCTTCTCATCCGAATTTGTCTTTTATCACTGAGCAAAATATTTCCCAGAAACTTCCAGTGGACTTTTTATATCATTGGTCAGAACCGTGTCACATGTCTACCCTAAGACCAGTCCCCTGCCGTAGGGAACAGAATGGCCATGATGAACTTAGACTGATGCTCAGTTATCCTCTGAGGCCGGGGGCAATGCTGTCCGAACAAAACAAGGCCCTGTTAGGAAGGGGGACAGGGCCACACCGGCCGAGGGGACTGTTGCAGTTTCTGGGGTGGCCAGGGCTAGGACCCTGCACTGTGCAGGGTGACAGGGGGCGAGGTCGCTGGCACAGGGCATCGGTGAGCACTCTATCTGTGCTAAGTGTTGGGAAACTCACGCTGATTTAAGCTTCAAGTGGGTATTTATGGGTGTGCATGGTAGGGGAGTCCGGGATGAGAGCCGCTGTGGCATGCAGGGCCTCGTAAGAAGCACACGAGGCTAAGAACATCAGCTCCTTTATTATTATCCTTATTAATTATTTACCATTATTGTCCCCTAAACAACAGCACAACTCAAACAGTAAGGACACACACGCCCCGCCCACATACACAGCCCCACTGGCCTGTGTGCCAGGCTGCCTGGCCTTCGCTTGGTTCCTCTGTAAAATTCAGATTTGGACAGAAGGGGGTGGGGCTTAGCCAGAGAACGAGCCATGGGGCCGCCAGCGTCCTGGGGGACCTTAGGCACGGGCTGCAAACGTCCGGGCGCGGGGCAGAAGGCACTGCTTCTTTCCATGTGGTTGGTAGGGATGCAGGATCTGTTTAGAGCCTTTCGCAGGCCAGGGATGGAGCAACACGGTGGGCTGAGCCCCGGGACCCCCTCCACCAAGCCACTCAGCAGGCACGGAAACAGGAAGCCAGTGTAGGGATCTGGGTGATGGGGAGGCCCCCAGAGAGAAGCAACGCTTGCCTTAGGGGCAAGGTCAGATCCGATGTGAAATATTAAGTCCCCATTTGTTTGTTTGGCAGCAACAGAATGTGCAACATTGTCATCAAAGTAGAAAAAAAAACAAGGGCAAAGAAAAACCAGTATTTGACCTAACGCAACCAAGCATGACTTGCCAATTGCGCCCACTTGTGGAGAGATCTATTACTACACTATCCAGGGAGTTTGTGGTCATTCCCCCACCCCCCAACACTTTGGATGCACTAAAACGGAGTTCAGCTAAAGTTATGTACCCCACAATCAGAGAAGCCTGGGGTGGGGGAAGGGACAGGGATGCGCCAAGGCTGCTGCTTCAGGTACAGGTGACTTCCTGGCTGTCCTGGGGCAGCTCACTGTTGAAACTGCTCTCTCCGTAAGGCGCGTAGGGCGGGACCTGGGGGGCTTCGATGATCAGCAGCCCCTCCGGGGAGAGCGAGGCGAACACTGTCACCGGATCCACCTCTGCGGGAAGCCTAGGAGAAGCACAAGATGTTAGTCAGCCACTGCCTTTAACCCAGCGCAAGCATCCTTTCACTGCTTCGAAAGAAAATATTTTGGGGGGGCTGGCGTGCGGCACAGCAGGTTAACCACCACCTGCAACACCAGCCTCCCATACGAGCATGGATTCCAGTCCTTGCTGTTCCGCTTCTATCCAGCTCCCTGCCGTGGCCTGGGAAAGCAGCAGAAGATGGTTCAAGTGCTTGGGCCCCTGCCACCCACCTGGGAGACCTGGAAGAACCTCCTGGCTCCCAGCTTCAGCCTGGCCCAGCCCCAGCCGTTGTGGCCATGTGGGGAGTGAACCATCAGAGGGAAGGTCTCTCTCTCTTTCTCTGTCTCTCCCTCTCTCTAACTCTCTCTTTCAAATAAATAAATCTTTCAAAAAAAAAAAAAAAAAAAGAGTGAGCCTTAAATATCTCCTAGCAGCTCATAACTGGTTTTCCCCCTAAATTCATTGGTAGAATTGCTTGGTTGGAGCTTCATTACAGTCTAGTATGCCCGATAGGGAAGCATTGATATAACCATTTCACAGATCACTAAACAAAGATTTGGGGAAAATCAAATTGCCAGCTCAATAGTGCGAAAGTATCAAAGACGGGATCTGCTGCACACGAAACTGATTCTTGCTTTGATGTTTTTATGAATTTTGGGTTCTTATTTTGAGTGGGACGTGGGTTCTTCAACACACTATCGAAGCTGTGAGGATTGCGGGATGACCCCGTGGGGAGGCAGCTGTCGATAAAACTTAGCGAAGACTCTGATGTCTGAGCACGTTCTATGTGCCAGGTGTGTTTCCTGATTTAGCAGCTAACCAGGCAGGTGCCACCGCTATCCGGCATTTGCAGAGGACTGAATTGAGGCCCAGAAAGAGGGTGCAAGGGCACCCAGCTGGTGAGTGGCAGTGGGAGCTGCAACTGGGATCCTGGTCTCCAGGCTCAGAGTGGCCAACCGCGGGGCTGCACGGAGGCCGCCCCTGGCAGCAGACTCAGACTGCACGAAAGGTCGTGGAGGGGAAGCCGGGGTTCAGTCACCGGAGGTCTTCGCAGTGGGCAGGGCTGGCTCGGCCTGTTCTCAATGCAGGGTTCTTGATGAACCAAGGCATGAGGCAAGGCACCCTGAAGGGCCAGGGAGGGTGGCTTTGTGTTTGTTTTTCTTGCTGCAAACAGCAATCTGGAGTCACAGGAGCCCAGATACCCCGGGGGAGGGGGGGTTCTGTCAAGTCCAGCTTTTGACACAGACCCGGAGCCAAACGTTCAGACCTCCCTCCTGCTGCCTGGGCAGGGCTGGCTCGGCCTGTTCTCAATGCAGGGTTCTTGATGAACCAAGGCATGAGGCAAGGCACCCTGAAGGGCCAGGGAGGGTGGCTTTGTGTTTGTTTTTCTTGCTGCAAACAGCAATCTGGAGTCACAGGAGCCCAGATACCCCGGGGGAGGGGGGGTTCTGTCAAGTCCAGCTTTTGACACAGACCCGGAGCCAAATGTTCAGACCTCCCTCCTGCTGCCTGGGCAGGGCTGGCTCTGCTTCACCATCTGCACACCAGCCAGCGGGCACCCGGTCCACTGTCCCAGGGTGGCCGCCGTCCAGGCGTGGGCTTCGCAGGCTCATGGAGCAGCTTTCCAATGTGGACCCTTCCTGACTGTCAGCTTTGGGGCTGGGGTCCTGCCTCTCTGCAGCTGCTTCCTGGTAGGCCAGAGGGGATGACCATAGCACCTAACGCTTGAGGTGGTGTGAACACTGCGTTGCAGGGGCCGGAACTGTGGCGCAGCTGGTCAAGCTGCAGCTTGGGAGCCCAGCGTCCCGTATTTGAGCACTGGTTCGAGTCCCAGCTGCTCCGCTTCCAATCCAGCTTCCTGCTAATGTGCCTGGGGAAGGCAGTAGATGATGGCCCAGGGACTTGAGTCCCTACCACCTATGTGGGAGACCCAGGTAAAGCCCTTTGCTCCTGGCTTTGGCCTGGCCCCACCCTGGCTGTTGTGACCATTTGGGGAATGAACCAGCAGATGAAAGATCTTTTTCTCTCTCTCCGTCACTCTTTCTAAAAAATAAATCTTAAAAAATCAAAATAGCAGGGCAGTCAGCATCCCGACAGGTGTGAGGACACTGCACAGGTGGCAGTGTCATAGAGCCACAGGGAGAAACTGAGGCCCAGGGGGCGGGACTAGACCTGTCCCAGGCGTCTCAGCTCCAGGCCTCCAGGCTGACCCCGCCTGCTGGGAAGTTATTTCTCTTCCAAGCTTTTCAACCCTTGCACTTACATCTAAAGGGACGGACAGCTCGCCCGAGTGACTGTGTGCCTTTAACAAAGAGGGGACTGCACTTAGCACCAGGCCCTCGGGCAGTCAACCAGGGTCAGCTCAGAGCTCACCCCCAGCTGCCTGTCACTGGGCTGGCTTCCTGATCGCCTTCTGCAGTGATGAGAATTTAACTTCATCCAAAGCGAGTTGATCTAAGACAGAAACGTCTGCAGCAAAGCACGGTACAGGCGTGTGAGCGCGGAAGGCAAAAAACAAGCGAAGGGATTGTACTGCACTGCGACGCTAACCAGCCAGGGAGACAGGGGCTTTCCACCTCCTTCCAATCCCTTACTGCTCTTTTCATAAAAAAATACAAAGACAGCTGAGCCTTATCACGATGTGACGGTCACATCAAATTGTGTATAGGAGGCTCCTCAAAAAGTTTGTGCAAAGTGGAATTCAAAGATGAGTTTATGTTGTGCAAAAAAAACACGTTGAAATCCATGCAGATGAGGGGGTCTCTGGGAAATGCCATGGAGACAGTGCACTGCGGAAACTGAGTGTGCATTTCCAGACTGCTCCCGCTCTGTGTGTGCACGTCCATGTGTGCAGGCATGTGGAGGAGATTCAAGGTCTACCCTCAGCCGGCGCCGCGGCTCACTAGGCTAATCCTCCGCCTTGCAGCGCCGGCACACCGGATTCTAGTCCCGGTTGGGGCGCCGGATTCTGTCCTGGTTGCCCCTCTTCCAGGCCAGCTCTCTGCTGTGGCCAGGGAGTGCAGTGGAGGATGGCCCAAGGCCTTGGGCCCTGCACCCCATAGGAGACCAGGATAAGTACCTGGCTCCTGCCATTGGATCAGCGCTGTGTGCCGGGCCGTGGCGGCCATTGGAGGGTGAACCAACGGCAAAAGGAAGACTTTTCTGTCTGTCTCTCTCTCTCACTGTCCACTCTGTCAAAAAAAAAAAAAAAAAAAAAAAGTCTACCCTCGTGGCGGATTTCAGCTGTATGTTACAGTGCTGTTGGCTGTTCTCGGATCTCCAGAACCTACCCCTCTTGCACACCTGAAAACTCCTTAAGCCCACTGACCGCCCTTCCCCTAGCCCCTGGCCGCCGCCGCCTTCCTTGCTCCTCCTTCGAGTTTGGCAACTTTAGATTCTACGTAAAAGTGAGTATTTCCCTCGCCCTGCCTGGCTTGTGCCCCTTGGTGTAACGTCCCGGACCTCCATCCCTGTCATTGCAAATGTCAGCCCCCCCCCCGTCCTTTATGAAGACTGAATAATATTCCAGATCTGCTCTCTACTGGCTGAGCCCTTCATTGAGTCCCATCAGCCTCAAGTCTCAGTTTCTTCATCCACAAGATGGGCTTGCAAACACCGACCCAACGGGATTCCCTGAAAGATGAAACAAGGGGAGACCTACAGCCTCTTAGCAGGCACAGCAGAGGATCAGCTGTGGAGCCGACCCCGCGCGGCAGGGAGAAGGAGACCTGCTTTAGCTCTCAGCATCCTCTCCTTCCTGGTCGCTCATCCAAGCTGGGAGTGGAAAGAGCCAGGCTGCAGTCCTTGCCCTGCCCCCAATCTGAGAGGCAAATTCCTAGACCTCCCAGAGCAGGGCCTTTGGGAAGAACATCCCAGCCCAAGGCTAGCAGCTGTGGGAAATCTCCAAGAATCCCCGCCTGGCTGAAGGAGCTGCCTGGTCCCCTAAGCGACCAGCACTTTTCCTGGGAGAGGCCTCCAGAGACGGGCTCGGAGCTGTCCCGGATGCCAGCCTGACGCCCCGGCGTCACCAGTGCGGACACAGCCCCGGGGTCCCGGGGCTCCTGGGAGATTGCAGCCTGCGGAGTCTTTTAGTCACGCCAGTTCCCACGGACCAAACACTGAGCCTGTGCCCTGGGCTAAGCGCCTCACTCACACCCTGCCGCTGGCCCCCACGCTCCAGTCTGCGAGGACAGAGGCTCGAAGCAGGCACGGAAGCTGCTCAGCCAACCCTTTACTTTACCGTGGAGCCAGGACTCCCGACACCAGGGCCCACGGTGAAAACCTTTAACAAGCCGACCAGGCACGTGAAACTGCAGCCTGCGACATCGGCACCCCATGTGGGAGCCCCGAAAGACTCCCAGCTCCTCCACTTCCCATCCAGCTCCCTCCCACACACTGGGAAGGCAGTAGAGGATGACCAGGTGCTCGGGTCCTGCCACCCACGTGGGAGGTCCAGATGGAGTTTCTAGCTCCTGGCTTTGGCCTAGGCCAACTATGGCCATTGTGGCCGAATTGGGGAGTGAACCAGCAGATGCAAGATCTGTCTCTCTCTCTCTCTCTCTAACTCAGCCCCCACCCCCAACTCTTTACACTCTCCTATCTTAAAACAAAAACAAACTATGGGACAACCAGGCCAGCTGAGCCCTGCCCAATCAGAGGGGATGGAGGGCCTGGAGTCCCTCTGATTGACAGGCCAGGGCAGGATACAAATGGCTCCTTTGTATTTTAACAATCAGCCCAGCACCAACTGAGTAGTAGCCCTATCCTGAGCAACCTGGGTGCCTTCACAGCTCAGGGAACTCCCAGCGCGACCTTGGAGCTGGGAAAACCCACGGACACGGCCGCCCTTGGGGGAGGACCACCCACGCGCTCTGCCCACGCGCTCTGCCCACGCGCTCTGAGTGGGGCTCTGTCTTGATTCCTCCGCTCCAGCTGCTCCCTCTCCCGCCCCGCCCCCAAGCTGTGCTGGATCTGGTCGCTGAACCACTCAGGGCTGAGGGTCACCAGGCGCACCAGCCAGCGAGCGCAAATTAAAAACAGCCTGGTGTTTGCCTTATCAGGAAGCGTCCGCAGACAGCCAAGAGCTGCGCGGAGGGCCGGGAATGGGCACGAGCGGTGGGGGGAACGGGACCGCGGGATCCCGAAGCTGAAGGAAGCCTCAGGATTCAGCTACTGCAGGATTCTGCTCCGTGCTGGCGCTGGGGGTGGAGCGAAGCCTCAGCCACAACAGCAGCTGTAATCTGAACGCCCCCCGCCCCCGCCCCCACCCCCGCCCCAGCTCACGTCCAGCTGGTAACTGCAAGGCTGGGAGCCGCACCTGCTGCTTCGCGGCAGAGTAGGGGATTCGGGGATTCGGGCCTCAGGTTGTGCGCCTTCCCCTGGGCCACACTCCATGTCTTCCCTTCCTCTGTGCCCATCTCCCCATCTCCATAGCAAACACGGTGCTTTCCAACAAGACTTTGGGGAGCTGCCCTAGGAGGTGCCCTCTGTCCCGGCCATGGCCGAAGCCTGGCAGGCAGCCTTCAGAAGAGTCTGTTGGTTCATGCAGGGCTTCAAGGGAGGGTCTGTCTTGGTGGCAGGGAGGACTCTCCATCAGCCACGTGCCTTGGGAGACTGACGCCTTGGCGCTAGGCCTGGTGTGCGTGTGTTATTCTGCCTAGCTCCCTCTCGGCTCCTTCATCCATAGAAGAGGGTTGTTCACGCCCACCTCCCAGGGCGCTGAGCAGGTGAGCTGGCACCATCCAGGTGCAGCCCCTGCCCGGCCCCCGCCGCAGGTTTGCTGCAGCACCTTCTCCCCTTTCTTCTCTTGGGCTCAGTTTCCTGCCCCACAGAGGGTGTCTCCCAAGAGATGCCCCAGGAGTGGCGTTTGGCACAGCGGTTACGATGCCACTGGGGTGGGAATCCCAGCTCTGCGTCCAGTTCCAGCTGCCTGCCTGCTATTGTAGAGGCAACAGGCGCATCCTCAAGCGGCGGGGTGGGGAGGGGTCTCTGCCACCCACCTGGGAGACCCCGATTGGATTCTGGGCTCCTGGCTTCGTCCTGGCATTTGGCGGAGTGAATTAGTGCACGTGAGATCCCTGTCCCTGTCTACCTCTGGCTCTCAATAAATACGTGGATAAACACATTTGCAAAGCGCTAGCGCCCTCTTCCTCCACTGCCCCCACTGAGACCCACGCGCCCAGTTACTCACTGGATTTTCTTCGTGAAGTTCTTGGAGACGATGCCCCCTTCATGCTGCTTCTCTTCGTGTTTGCCTGGAAGGGAGAGGAACAGCACATGTCAGCATCTGTGGCCCAGCAGCACTGCCTGGGGCTTGGGGCTTGGATTCAAATCCTGCTCTGCACCTGCCTTCATTGGGTGGCTTAGGGGTCGGTCCAGAAACCCCAGTGGTGTGAACACCCAGCCCCTGTGTGCCCCGCAGATGTACCTAAGCCCACTTTCCTGGCCGGCTGTGAGGATGACCCAGAAGGGAGGCTGTGACTGGGGGCTGCTGCCAACCAAGTGTCAGTCTTGGCCAGACCCTAAACAGCCTGTGGGAAACAGTGCATTGTTGCAGCCCAGATCTCTCTAAGGTGACCACGTAGAGGTGAGGCCCTCATTAATTACTTCTTTATAGTGCGAGACAGTGCATGCATTCGTGAGAAAATACAGAAGACAAAATCTGTCGCTCAGAGGAAGCCATTAGTAATAGGCTTGGGTATATTCTAGAACTTTCTATGTTTCTTAGACATGTGTACACATTATATAGATTTATATCACATACTTATCAAATCCAATCATTCTATGTGTTACACTTGCAGCCTGCTCTACTCTTTGGGTAATATACTTATTTTCCTGTATTACCGAATATTCTTGGACCAGTGATTGCCAGGGTTTGTACAGGTTCCTCTGCAGTGGTGTGTGACCGCTTGCCCAGCCTGCTGCTGCTGTCCGGCACTAAGTAGGGCTCCAACCTCGGAAGACACCGCATTGCTCTGAACATTCTAGCAGCCGGACCTCCCGCCAAGCCCGGTGACTCCTGCAGGACTGATCCCAAGCTCGACAATTCCTAAGGCTGGATCTGTATTGCTAAATCGCTCCCTGGAAGGACCACCATCTATTCTCCCACTAGCCAGGGTCACGGCTGGACGCGCTCATTTTTAAAACTGCTCTTCTGTGACCCTGCGGCTGCTCCCACACAGCTGAAGCTGCCCCGTGACCACCAGCCACCTGCTCTAGCACAGCCTTGCGGCCAGGGGAACCCTTGGCCAGGACATCCCCGCCCCCAGAGCCTGGTCCTCCCGAGGCCTGTTTCCCCTGGGGACAGGCCAACGCCTCTGACTCAGGCCTTTTGCCTCCTGGAATCCTAACTGCTGGGGAGGAGGAGCAGGAGGAAGAGGAGGAGGAGGAGGAGGAGGAGGAGGAGGAGGATCATAGCAAATTTCTATAGGCAGTGCCTGACTTAATTTCTCGGCTTCATGATGCTGCTGGTTTTCTGTTTTTCAGTGCAGCATCCAATCAATTACACGATCCTCACACTCAGTGGCAGAGCAGGCTTTTTGTTAGATTCTGTTTTTTTTTTTTAAGATTTATTTTATTTATTTTAAAGAGTTACAGAGAGAGCTAGAAACAGAGAGATAGAGGTCTTCCATCCGCTGGTTCACTCCCCAGATGGCTGCCAACAGCCAGAGCTGTGCTGATCTGAAGCCAGGAGCCAGGAGCTTCTTCTGGGTCTCCCACATGGGTGCAGGGGCCCAAGCATTTGGGCCATCCTCCACTGCTTTTTCAGGCCATAGCAGGGAGCTGGGTCAGAAGTGGAGCAGCCAGGACTTGAACCGGCGCCCATATGGGATGCCAACACTGCAGGTGGCAGCTTTACCCACTACGCCACAGCGCCGGCCCCTAGATTCTCTTGAAAACTGTGTGCCCCTGGAATGTTCTGAGCGCATGTGCACGGGAGGCTGGGCTGAGACAATGTTTGGTGGTTTCGGAGGATTCAATTATTCGGTGCATTTGGGACTTAGTGATGTTTTCAGCTTGCTGCGGGCTCCTCAGGGCACGCCCCCTAGTTGTAAGCGGGGTGCTGACCCAGCATCAGCCACTCTGCCGAGCACTCTGCCTCTGTCCGCTCCAGGAACTTTTGCAGCAGCCACAGAGAGCAGCCTCATCCGTCGTCGCCACTTTATGGATGGGGAAAGCCACGTTCAGAGAGGTGTAGGGACTCGGCGGGGGTCACACAGCTAGGAGGCATCTGAGCAAGGATTCAGAGGCCGGCAGGTGGGTTTCCGATCGCTGGGGTGTGGACTGGGGTCCCTGCTCTGACATTCCCCAGCACATCCTTCTCTGGGGCCTCAGTTTTTTATTCTTTGAAATGGGGGTGAGCACGCCCACCTTCTTGGTTCCTGAGAGGAGCGACTAAGAGGGAATCGCAGAAACACCTTGTGGGCTGTGCAAACGGGTGAGGGTGCACGCCTGTGGTTCATCTGGAAGTTTGGAGAAAGGACTGCTCCTCCCAGTCGGTGCTCCACTGGGGGTCCGAGCGTCAGGGAGGGGAGGGGCTCTAAGCAAGGGCAGCTCCAAGACTGGCAATGCAGGGACAGGGCAGGCGGCTGGGCTGCTTCCAAGGCGGTGTGGCTAAGAGGCTGGTCCTGAGGCTTTACTGCAGGACCATTTGCACGCCGAGAGCGTTTAAATATTACGAGTGGTTTTGAATTTCTTATTTTTGCCTCCTAATCTAGATTTTTCTACCACGTTTGTAAGCAGAAGAGTGCAATCCTGCAGAGTTTTAAAGAAATAACTCAGCCCCTGGTGGCCAACGTTGTCCCACGGAGCCTTAGGGGGATGGCAGGTGCCCCGAGCAGGCGGCGTTAGCTCTCCAGGGAACGCAATTGGCTGGGCTAAAGAAGGAAGGCGCTGTTTCCAGGGGCCCTGGGATTAAGGAGGAGGGGCGGGAATGAGGCCACGGGGTTTTCCAGTAGCTTCCTTAGCCAGCTCTGGCCCAGTGTCCCAGGAAGAGAACATTTCTTGGCTGGTGGCTCCGACAGGGTGGGGGAGGGCGAGGCGCGACCCAGATCACCTAGCCCAGCATTTTCCAAAGGTTTTGCTGGAAGGAGATACTCCAGTGTGGTCAGATAAGATGGGGCTGGCTCTCAACCCCGACAAACATTCAAGGCTCTGATAAGGCCTGCAGCAGAGGGAGCTGTTTCTAATTTCGTTTCATCCGGTGCCTTCTAAAACTCTAACCTCCCCCTTTTCATCTCCCAGACACCAATGCGGCCTGAAAGCACATCACTTAGCCAATACCGATCCAGCCCATGGCTTCGTGAGACCAATGGCAAAGCCGAGGCTTCCGAGCAGTGGGATCCGGCCGGGGCCACCCAGTCGGAGGTAGACCCAGCCAGCTCAGCCCAGCACCTCCCAGGAAGGCCTGGCTCTGAGTCTCGGGCACCGTCACAGGGAAGCAGGTGATCGCAGGTGAGGCGTTCTCTGGGCCTCAGTTTCCTTATCTGCAAAGTGGGCTGAGTGATAAACCCCACCCCCACCCCCACTTCCCGGGAGGTCCTTAGGAGGAGCCAGTGAGCTGAGGCAGGCAGGCAGCTGGCCCAGGGCCCAGGCCAAGTGGCTGTGGGAGAGTCAGCCCGTCAGCACGCGGTGTGGGATGGGAGACCGGACCTGACTCCTGACTTCCCCCGGAAGCTGCTTTATACCAAGCCCTGGATGTCAATCTTATTTTCAAAACCTCTTGGATGAAAGCCTGGTGTGTCCTCAGAGGATTCTGTAAACTGCACATGGAAACGGCTTTGTCCTCTGTCTTATTTAAGCTCACTGAGCCCATTTTACACATGTGGAAACTGAGGCTCCACGGCACAGCCTCTGGATCTGTAAGATGCTTATCGGGGATCTCAGCCGGGGGCTGCCAGGCCCCACCTGCTAAGAGGTGCCTTTGAAAGCAGATGGAGAAAAGCCCTTCCAGCCTGGACACAGGGCTCTGGGAAAGAGCCCTAGACCCTGAAAGCCCCAGGACCCTGGTTCAAGTTTGCACTGGCGGAGCCGTGACAAGGGTCACGTGTTCACGGAGTGCCAGGGCAGACGCTGTTACAGCGCCATCTGACACACACGTGTGTGCGTTACTCATGCTCGTGTTCAAACTCTCTAGATGACGACCCCATTCTGCAGATGGGGACACTGAGGCTCCTAAAAGCCTTTCTCGTCCTTGTCCCCCAGGCTGGTAACTAGCGGTACTGGGATTGGAGCCCAGGTCTCAGGGAGCATCTGTCACAGCCTCTCAATGACAGCAGCCACGCCTTGTGTTCCGGCCACATCACAGGCATCACCCCCACACCATGCCACACTCCTTGTGGCGCAGCCTTCCGAACCCCGATTTCCAGGCAGGGAAAGGAAAGCACACAGAACTCCAGTGGTCTTTGCATGCTGCCGATCAGTGTCCAGTGCCCGCGTCCCCAGCCAGCTCCAGGAGCCCGGCCGGTGCCCTCAGTCAGCACGTGGCCCCAGCGTGGCCCGGGCCCCCCACGCCCGCCCCAGCCTGTGCTGCCAGCCGCCCCTCTGTGCTGTGCCGCTGGGGCTTGTCCCCGCCCAGCCTGAGCCTGCGGAGGCTCTGATGGATTCTCTGGCCCGCAGGCCTGTGCCAGGAACACACTCTCTTTAATGGAACACTAATTGGAAGGGAAACACACACACACACACACAGAGACACACACGCTTTCTTCTGCCGCCCTGGGGAGAAGCGCAGGCGCCCGGAGGAGCCCCGTCTCCTCCTTCGCGGCGTGCCCTGTCCCGGGCTGCGCAGCGGCCTGGAATCCGGGACACACTGGGCTCAGGCCCTGCTGCTGACTCACTGCCTGACCTTGGCCCGCTCGGCCTGGGCCTCTGCCTCTTCAGCTGCACAATGGGCCGAGGCACTGACTTCTCAGGGCTGGAGGATTCTTTTGGAGGAGGAACATGAGCAATGTAGGCCAGGCTCCCTTTGCCGTCCCCTGCCCTCCCCTCCCCAGACAGCCTGGTCTGAGCCGCCGGTAGCCTTGGCTAAGGTACTGTAAGCTCTCCATCTACAAGAGGAGGAGACAAACAGGAGCCGACCTTCTGTGCCGTCCTGTTCGCTGCAGCGTTAGACACGGCGCCTAGGAGGTGGCGAGCGCTCCCTCAGGGTTACCCCCGGCATCCGTGGAGTCACCACGGAGCCCCTGT